TTGGTCCACAAGATCTCAATTCATTAAAGCATACTGGACCTCTATATTTTCACAACTTCACTCACTCTTGCTCATACTACTTGGGTATACCATTCCACCTTTCTAAGATAGTTATCCATTATCTTTACGCAGAATCACCTCTTTCTATCATATTTTTAAGGAGTAAAATCGACTAATCATTTTAGTCTAGTCATTGTTATGCCAATGCCCATCTCATTTACTTTGTTTGGCATCATCTTGAATATCCATCTTGAAATCTATGCATTCATCTATTTGATTATGTCATCCGGCTAATCAACATTATAAACCTATTTTACTATTTGTCATATTTAACAAGAGTACTTTCTATTACTGATACGCCATACTATCACATCATATCTTCTATTCTAACAATTTCATTTCTAACACTGAATAAATACTAGTTCCTATGAAAGGAACTAGGTTCCCCTTTGGTTCTTTTCTCCCTGTTCGACTCACTAATGCCTTACAACAACTTTATAGACTAAGGCATCAATCCTTCAATTAGAATTTATGTTTTAAACCTCGATCCTTGGTGCCCTTCCATTAACATCTTTAATAATTCTTGGATACTAATCAACAATATCAATCTAGTAAATAGTTCCATGTACTAGCATTAACTGATCAATACCAAGTAATAACTCCTTGTCCAGGATCACCCTAACAATTCTATTCGGCCCATCCCAATCGTTTAGGAACATGTTTTTTCTCAATACAAGCTTGACAATAATTTCTTAATTAGACAACCACTCTAATCCCCCTTTGCCAAGCATTCGCCTCTCACCAGGTAGTAATGCTCATTGCCCAGAATGAGATATAATGCTACAATAGTTTGAAAATAAGAATTATTATGGCATCCCAATCATTTTCTCATATTCAATTACAATACACGTTTTCTTTTCTAATAAAATGTTTTTCCAAATTTTTTTAAAGATTTCACATTAACATTATACCATGTATACCAATTATCCACTCGATAATTTCTTATATTAGTAACCCTTTAACTAGTACATTAGTCCCAAACATCCTGACAACTAGTTCCTCCCATTATGCCCATTTACCAGGCATCTATTATATTTACCCAAACTCGACACTGACCCTAGGTCCAGTCCATTACTTATGACAATCCAAAAATCCAACCATCCAACATCTGACATTAACCCAATTATCGGGTCATTAATCCATTTGCTCAATTTTCGGGCACCGACTCCATCACTAGATCTCTTATTTATTTGTCCAATTTCAAAGCATCAACCCTATCATCGAGTCTCCTATTTATTCACCCAATTATTGAGCACTGATGTATTTATTGAACACTGACTCTTTTTATTAAGTCACTAATTTACCTACCCATTTTCTTCAGGCACTAACCCCTTTACCGGATTACTAATTCGTCCATCCATTTTCCTGAGCATTGACCCCTTTACCGGGTCACTAATTCATTTGCCCATTTTTCCAGGCATCAATTCAACGTATAAATTTGTCTACAATTAGCACAACCATAATATACATAATATTATCATAAATTTTATTATCAACTTTAAAAGCATAACATACTATAATCTTTTTCTGAAAATATTCGATTCCGTTCGTATCAATCATCACAATCCTTTAATCAGTTCCGTTGTTGCTAATTTCTTAATGGGCAACTAGAACTTTTCAATTTTCTTAATAATTGGTTGTATTATCCATTCCATGACTTCAATTCCACCATTTTTCCTAATACTTATATATTATAACAATAAGATTAAACAAGGATTTTGTCATAATTTAACAACCAATTTAACAACCCAATTCATTTATTATCATGAACTGGGCCAAACCTTTATAAGAAGGAAAATTAAGATTTTCCTTCTATCTAGTATAATTTGCAATTCAATCCCTCTCATCTTGTTTCTTAATGTATTTCAACATTAATTTTATCATTATCCACATCTGCATTCCATTCTTTTATTTCTTTCCTCACTTTGCCAAATTTCTTAGTTTAGTAAGGATGATATTTTTTTTTCTATTTACATCCTACTTGTTTATGCATTACTTAACCCTTTTAAATATATTTCAATCCAAACTAAAATCCTAACTTAGTCAAATACAACTTTCCTCTTCTTTCATTTAGCCTCGCCATTCTTTTTTTAACATCCAACGAGGAATCAATTCTTCTTTGATTCTAGTTTTCAAATCCTCATCTAAGGTTAATTTTATTCATTTGAGCATGATAATTTTTCATTTCATCAATCACATACATTCTTTATATTTTTCTACCAATGCTAAAATTTCAAGTAAGGGTAGCATGAAATAATTTCTTCAACTTTTTATTGAATTAAACGCTAATCCATTCAATTCTCATGCCAATAAACAAAATTTCATAACAATATCACAAATTACTCATTGGCATTCAATTCTCATACCAATAAACAAAATTTCATAACAATATCACAAATTACTCATTGGACACCCCAAGCAAATTAGGGTTTATATATAAAAAAATTATTATTTGCATTTAAGCTCTTGTCTTTCATATTTAAATTTATCTAATCCCCATGAGTTATTTTCTTTTCTTCTTTTCTTTTTCCTATTGGTTAGCTAAAGACTTCTATCAATGAACATGAGAAAGAGGCACTCCTTCTCTTGTCGAAGATGAGGCTTAAAACAACCCTTTGAAGGTTGATATTTCAACTAATTAATACCATCTTTCTTTTAATTATATTACCTTGTGCCTCTAGTATATTAGTTTATTTACCCGGTTACCAGTAATTTCTCGTGCAAATTTTAAAAATCACCAAACATAATATTTTAAAAATTCTAAAACTTTACCCTATGGAAAAATAATATATTATATAATTCTCCATATAAGTTTCAACTTAATTTATTTATCATATTAAAAGTTGTGTGTGATAACGCAAAATTGGCAAAATTTTAATTTTCTAAAAACAATCTCAATTTCTTTGAAAATTCTGAAATCTTAACCAAAGCTAATAAAATATATTAGAAGTTTCTATGCAAAGTTTTAGATTTTTCTGAGAACTTGATCGAGAGTTACAAATTTTTAATGTAAAACTAGTCGATTTATGATTTTTCGCTCAAAAATCAAAATCTCCTTATTTCATCCTTGCGTAAAGCATCCAATCATTTTACTATCTCATCAAAGCCACTTCACTATTTTTAGTCATTTACGGCTTATTTCCGCGCCATGACAACATTATCAATTTCTTGCTCGTGTTTATACCAACACTTTTTGTACCATTCTTTTTTTTTTTACTAGGGGTTTACAAATACATTGGACCATCATGTAATTACTATCATTAGCACTTGATGTTATGAAGGGAGATAAAGGTTCAAGATGGCTTAATTTATCCTCTTTTATCTTTCTTTTTTGATGTCTTTGATGGCCTTGAATACTGATGTTGTTATCATTATTGGTGGAAGGATGTGCTAGTATGATAGTGTTTGGCTATGGTGGTGCTTGCTTGATATGTTGTTATTACTACTAAGTCATTGTTCTATTTCATGAACGATGATTAATGTATGAGTTTAGTTCAACTTAAGTTAGATTTAGTTGGGTTTCTAGTTTAGGTTTAAGTCTATTTTAGTTAGTTTGAATAGTTGGTAAGTGATATGTTAAAGTAGTTATTGGTTTTGATGGGGAGAGAGGTTGAACTAGAGTAAGTTTAGGTTGGCTTATAATGTGTGGTGCATGGCTTTGATGAGTTTATGACTATAATAGTTTGGTGGTGGATCAAGATTTGTGCTAGTTAAATGTATTGGTTTAATGTTAATAAGTTTATCGGTGTGATTTGATTTTGTAATAAGTCAATAATGTGTTAAAGTGGCTGTTGGTTTGAATGGTGAGAGAGGTTTTACTAGAGTAAGCTAGATGGATAAAAAAAGTTGGAAAAAAAAAGAGAAAGAAAGAAGAAGATAAGGGGGAAAGAAAATAAAGGAAAAAAAGAGAGGAAAAAATAATAAAATGGAGTTGGTTACTGTAGTTTCAAAAAAAAGAGGAAAAATGTTATTATTTTTTTTTTATGGATGATGACTTTTTTTTTTTCTCTTAGAATGATTATAAATTAGGATATTTATAAGTAATGAATTAGATTCACCTTTCATTTTATAGTATTTAGATTGTAATTTTAAGAGATTCTAAGATAGATTTTAGGATTGTGCGGGGATAGAATTAAAAAGGCAAGTTTAAGATATCTTCTTTTTACTATATATTTATCTTTTTTATTTATTTTACAATTATTATTTTTTTCCACCCCTTTTTTTATTATTTTACAATTATTATTTTTTTCCACCCCTCTCATTTTTCATTTTGAGTTTTCTTATTTTTCACTCATTTTTCCTCATCTTTATTTTCCTTTATTTTCTCTTTCATTTTTATATTTTTATCATTGTTTATTGCCTATCTTAAAATAATAATATATAAAATATTAAAAATCTTCAAAATCCATGAAATAATAATATATATTTTTTAAAAGATAGAGCTTTTCAATAAAAAATACATTGTTTTAAAGATTTGGGAGTTTCAAAAAAATCTTTGAAAAAGTGGGGGGATAAAAAATGGATTATAACAATATTTTTTTTTAATAATTTGATGGGGTTATTTTGTTTGTTTTAGCAAATCAGTTGATGGGCATTTGAGTATTTGTCAATGGTTGGTGAATAACGATTTAAGTTAGGAGAAAAAGAAAAAGGAAGAAGTGTAAAGATGTCAAAGAAATAGTGTAAAATAGTAGTAAAGACTAGCACAAATACATAAAAAACGTTTAATTTTTGTCAAATAAATAGATAATTGAGCTGAAACGTCAAGCCCGATGCTTGATGCTTGGATGAGTTTTTCCAAAGGGGGTTTTTTGAATCCAAATATTAATTTCAAATTTGGAGATAGGACACTACCGCTTTTGCTCGTTGCAGTGACAGTGACCTGGTGATAAAGGAAAGTTGAGCAATTATGAGAAATTTTTAGATTAAATCCTTATACATCTCAAGTGAATTCTTGGAATAAAAATTATATTTTTTATTAATTTGGATTGAAAGACCTTTTAGTGTACTGCAAAATCTACACCTTTTTGTTTAAGGGGGATAGTGGGGACTGCAGGATCTTCCGCTACGTCTCCTCTGTTTCTTACGGATCTAGCAAGTAAAAGTATGCGCCTGGCGATTCACAGCTGAACAAAAAGGCCACTCTCATAATTCCCATTATATTCTTCTTCCCACTTTTTTCTGATCCAAATTTCCATATCGACCGTGCTCTCTTTTGTCTTCGTTAATAAATCTGATGGGGTTTCGTTCAAACCTTAGATTTATCATCCTTGTAGCTGCTGCTGCTGTTTTTCTTCTACTATTGTCCTTATCTCGCATCGCCGCTTCACAGGTCTCTTTATTTATTTATTTTTTTCTATCTATTTCTTCTATTTTTCAGCTTAAGATGTTAATAAATGCGTGATGTTGTTTATTTATTTATTATAGGAAAATGATGAATCAAGATCCTTTCAAGACCTGGGCCGCCGTGGCATGGTATTCATCATCACCATCATATGCTATTTTGTTTGGTCATATACTCATTTTCTTTTTAATGGATGGATGGATGCAGGTCGTTAGAAATGGAGGTGATGCCAAATCTGCTGGTAATGGTCTTAAATTGGAATCGGGTCTTGGAATTTTTGATGCTTTCTTTGCCAGCTTGTCAATGATTTTGGTCAGCGAGGTAATTGGGCTCTCGCTCTCTACTGCTGTCTCTTTTCGGATTGATGGTTGACCGAATCTTCTTAACTTTTCTCTGATTTAATTTAATTTAATTTGGTTTTGTTATATGTTTCTATTGCTTGACTATCACGGTGCGTGCTAGATTGGTGATGAGACTTTTATAATAGCAGCTCTAATGGCAATGCGACACCCTAAATCTACTGTGTTATCGGGTGCTCTCACCGCCTTGATTGTCATGACAGTAAGCTGCCTTTTTTTTTTTTTTTTCGTGTTTCAGCAGTTTCTACTTCAGCCAAAGAACCCTTACCTTCTCCGACTTTGTTCTCTCGCTCTCTCTCTCTTTCCTTTCTTTCCTCTGACACTGCAAGGCATTGAATGGAATGGTCCAGCCAGCAACTACACTGAACTTTTCTTATTCTCAATGTTGGTGAAGCTTAAAGCTGTTGTGCATGTCATTTAGGTACTTTCTACTGGACTAGGTAGAATCGTGCCAAATTTAATTTCAAGGAAGCATACAAATAGTGCAGCCACCGGTACGTACTATATAAATTAACATTTATCGAGTGCAGCCAAATTTCTTGTTTCCTAGAAAATGCCTTCCATGCTATCCTATTCATCATTTACAATTGCTGCTATTTCTTTGAAATCCGAAGTATTCTTCATGGGAAGATTTAAATACTTCACTACAGAAATGGGATGTATTAAAATAATCAGTGCACCGTGTTTGTTTTTTAAATGCATTCATTTGGGACACTATTATAGCATATAAAAGTATGTATGGCAGGATCAATACTGAGAAATTGTGGGGCTTGATGGGCGAGGATGCCATCTAGGCACTCAATCAAGGAATGTGTTATCAATGTACTGTTTCTTTGCTATTAGTCACTTAAATAGAATCATCTTCTATAGTCTTATAATAATGAGAAATACTGGAGGAAAAGCTATCGTTTTGATTATAAATGGGTGCAAATCTTGCTTGGTTTCACTTGTTGGACTCTCATGATGTGTAATATGTGGACGAGAGCTGGATATTTTTGTGTTTTGTCTACTTGTCGAAAACTTCCAGTTTTATGAAAAAAAGTTTGGAAAATAGAAATCTAAAAACATGTTCACTAATTGGAAATGATTTTTTTCTCTTGAAAACATGTTTTATTTTATTTCTACTATTTTTTTAAATACTGAAAAGCACCCGAAAGTTGGTTTTCCAAATTCTCCAACATAAAAAATAAGGATGTTTTTCAGTTCTCTAATTTTCATGTATATTTCTTCTATTCTAAATACAAGTCAAACAAGTTCCTAGTTTTTCATTTTGGAAAATATTTGTTTGATAAATATGTTTCCATAATTTTTCATGGGAAAATCGTTTTAGAATAAATAAGAAAACCAGAGATGGAAACTACAATTATCTTATGAAGTTACATGATCTTCATCGTACCAAAATGTTACCTCCAAAAAAAATCCTATAAATGACTGGAATAAGGAGCTTGGTGCCTTCCTTGTAATAATATATAGGAATTAAACCACAGTGAATTCTCCACAAGAATAAAAATAAATTCATGTTAACATGATGAATCTTCACATCACGAAGTTTGAACGCAATCATCTTTGTGGTTTAATTCTGTTTGTAGAAAGTGCTACAAGCAAATTCCTTGAAAATGGTGTCCAGTCAACTTCAATGAAAAATATATCTTGAAATAATTCTGTATGAAATTGCAGCACTTTTATGTCCGTATACTTTGTATATATCTTAGAATTCTCAGAGTCGACTATAGTTGAATAGATGTTTTAAGGGGACCTCTGTCAGTTGTTTGGTCAGAGGACATGTAGTGGATACATAATGCACGCAGTGGAATTTATTCTTACAGGTTGCATCGCTCTGAATTTCAACAGCTATTGGTCTCTTTTATCTACATGAGAATTTGAGTTGTCATGCTACAATTAGTGTCGATGCTAATCTTATTTGTGTTAGAATCAGGTTAAATATGAAAACTAACAACTGTATTCTTTCCATATGCAGTTCTTTATGCATTTTTTGGCCTGCGGCTACTTTACATTGCCTGGAGATCGGATTCAAAATCATCACAGAAAAAAGAAATGGAAGAAGTATATCTTTATTGCTCTTAAATCTGTCTATTCACCTGTTACATGTCTGCTTGGAATATACATTTTCTTCCTTTGCTGCAAATATATAAAATCTCCTGCTAAACGAAAGAGAGTTCTAGATTCTTGTTGGTTCTTTATCTCTCATTTCAGGTTTTGGATGTCTCTTTGGATGAGTAATTAATGGTAGAATGGTTAGCATGTTTAATCTGCAGAGTTGTATACCTTCACCTCATCCCCTCTCCCTAGTGCTCTGGGCTTTGAGTGCACCAGTGAACTGTTCCTTTATTTATTATTACTATAATCAATTGGCTTAGCCAATTTGCTATTAAATACCTGATCATCGTCAGCCTTTTGATCCAACTTTCTTTTTTAGGTGAAAGTCAATATTGCCTTGTTTTTGCCCAGTTTTATGTCTCTCTAAAAGTTCCTTGTGTCATTGGGTCATGAACCTTTTGTATTTTTTTCGTAAGGTATAGTTTCTGTATGTTAATTATGTAGTTATATTAATGTGGCAATTTGAGGTTCCTAGCATGATTGTGATCTCTTTTGAAAGAAATCCTGGAGGTATTTATTGAAGCTCAATTTCAATTTCCTCCTCCCTGCATCACCCTCCCTGAGCTGGTATTAACTTTATCTTGAATTGTGTATTGTGTGTTCAGGTAGAAGAAAAGCTTGAGGCTGGCCAAGGGAAAACAACCTTCCGCCGTTACTTTTCAAGATTTTGCACACCAATATTTTTGGAAGTATGTGTAACTTGTCATTCTTATTCTGCATTTTGGTCTCATGAAGCATTTCAGGTTCTTTATTTTGTGATATTGCGTTGGGATTTGCAAGGCCAAATCCTTTAGCCATTCTGTATTTAAGTACAATGATAACTGCGTAAGATTATGTTCGTTTAGGTATTTCTATTATGATTCTTCTGTTAGCATCTCAGCAAAAGCATGTGTGTTTTTTCTATGCAGTCATTTATTTTAACTTTTTTAGCTGAGTGGGGAGACCGTAGCCAGATTGCTACAATTGCTGTAAGTTTATGTTCTGAATCTTATGTTTTTATCAAAAATATTTTTGGCATGGCTTAGTCATACTTCCATCCTCGCCTTGCAAAATTTTGTTTCTCATTTTCTTCTTGTGCTGATTGGTCATTTTGAGTGCTGTGTTCCCTTTCATATGCTGTGAATTATGATTTTACTCCTTAATGATTGCTGCGATAGGATTTTGGGCTTTGTATTTTGTAGTAGAGATAATTTTATTGAGAAAGGAAATTGAATATAGTACGAAAATGGAGAATATATCATCCTTCCTAAGAACAAGAAAATATCTCAATCAAATGAAGTTCTCCTATCTTTCTGTGCTCTAAGGATACTTTAGTGATGCCCATGGTAGAGTGCCCTAAATTCAAAACCACTGTAAATGTAAATGTTGAACTTTCGGTGCCAGTTTTTATGTATCTTTGAGTTGAATTTGCATATACTATGGTTGCTGTTACAGGCTTATCATTGGAGAAAATCTCATAAACCATCATACCTGATGGTGTGTCTTGATTATTTTGGTACTATGCATGGGCTTTGATACACCTCACACCATGCCATGTTAAATTTCCCATGTGATGTGAAACTTTGTCTTCCGATTTTGGCTGCATAGCTTAAAAGCAATTAGATAACTTTCTTCGAGGATGGTGTGCTCAGCTGCTAGCTACCATCAGCCTAATCATCTACGTGAAATCGGTTGATGAAGCAGCAATATTTTTAGCATCAGAATAGGTAGTGTTTGGTGTTGTGGTAGCAGTGATTTTTTTAAATGTTTTTTTTTGTTTGGAAAAACATTAAACTAATATATTTTTTAATTTATTTTTAATATTAGCATATCAAAATTATCCAAAAATACAAAAAGAAAAAAAATTAATTTTTGCAAAAGCTTGTTTCCAAAAGGGGTCTTAGTCTTGTAGGGTGTCTGAACTGCCTACTTTTGTGTTTCGGAGTTCTTGTGAGGTCTTGCAATGGGATTTTTTTAAGCATATCTTCCTGGATGTAATAGGATCATGGGTTTGTGCATGTTAGGTTTCTTGAGAGTCCTGCCTACATTTCGTGATGCTTATACCAGTGAAGTCTTGTGTAATTGAAAATTTATATATGTTAAAAAAATAAATTCGTGTAGGCAAATTGTCAGACACCTTTAAATTGTGTGCTCCTAATTTGCTATGTTTATTGCCACTTGCCTAACATTTTGCAGCAGAACCAAGGTTTGTCATCACAAGATCCCTGGCTTTTAGTCTTCAAATGCCAACACCCACTATTCACGTGATTTCAATTTTCATGGTTCTTCGGTTGTGCCGATTCAATCTATATGATTCTTTAAGCATCTTACTTGCATGTGTTCGTGAAATAGTTTGAACACTCACAGGAATTCTTGAACACAAAAGCAGCCGTGAAGATAAATCAACATGGCTCCCGTAATTAAGATGCCTGCTGTTTTCTTTACTTGGCTAGATTGATTTGAATGGTGAAATACTGTGATTAGGAAGCAATTGTGTTCTCTGTTTTTTATTTTCTAGGGACGGATGCCATTGTTTTGATAGGATACTGAACATGATTTATCTTCTTCTTGATGGGATTTTATATTCGGAATGATCTCAAATAGCGATGCTGTAGAATATTTTCTTATACAATATTTTGACAAGAATGTCTGGCTCCTGCAGCTAGCAACACACAAAAATGCCATCGGCGTAGCTGTGGGGGCTACTTTGGGACACACCATCTGCACCTCCCTGGCAGTGGTTGGTGGAAGCATTCTGGCGTCTAAGATCTCTCAAGGGACAGTTGCTACCATTGGAGGCGTGCTTTTCCTTTGCTTTTCCTTGTCGTCTTATTTCTATCCTCCTCTATAACAGCTGTTTATAACCTACCGTAATTAACTTAAAATTAAATTAAGTATAAGTGAAGTTTAATTAATAAAGAAGTTGAATTTATATGTTTTGAAAAGATAGAATTCAATTTATTTTGTTTTTTTATTTTGTTTTTGTTATTCTCATTTATTGTTGGTCTTTAAAAAAAAGAAAAAAAAAAGAAGAGTAAATGAATATCATGAGGAAACTAGTTTTACTACTTGGTAGCAATGGAATACAAAAAACTCAATTATTAAACAAATTCTAAAAAAACCTAAAGATGCACGAGTCATATATTCTGCAGAACATTGATGGGGACTGAGCATTGATGAAATTTAAAGAGCTTAAAGGTGAATGAGTCATATATTCTGCAGAGCATAATTCTTGCCAGGATAATCACATTATAGTTGGTATAGTTTAGTGGTAAAAGTAACAAAAAGAATAGCAATTATTGGAGTGAGATAGTCATAGTTGAAAAGATGATTCATCTCTTCTTTCTCTAATTCAAAACTGTTTTCATAATTTGTTAACTATTTAATATCTATCATTGTAGCCTCTGTAATGTTTTAGTTCATGTTCACGGATATATCAAGAAAGTTGTATGGTTTAATAAAGGTACTATAAAATGAAATATTAACTCATGTGGGTCCCCAAAAAGGGCATTTTAATATGGTTGATTTTCCTGTTTTTGTAATCAGTTTTTTTTTTCAAAAAAAAATATTAAATGAATTTAATTGAGATATGGGTGGAATATAATGAAATAAATCTAGTACTAATAAAAAAAAAACAAAAAAATTATCTTTTCGATACACTTTCTAGGAATTTATTGCTACAACTTATATTACGCAATCGATTGAATTATATAGATATCATTTCAACAAAACATAAGTTAATCTGAACATCCATTATTCATTCAATGCAAATTATTCTTGGCTATTTTTCATATAAGAATCAAAATATGGTTTTACTGAGTGGTAGCTTTTAATTTTTATTAGAAATGAATCTTGGGTTTATAATTCCCTTTTTTTCACCTAAATAGTGCTTAAAAACTTTGATTTTTGAATCAAAAAGCCAAAATAAATTATTTTATTAGTCATTATGAATAGATAAAATAAATATATATTCCTTAAAAAATGAATCCCACTCTAATAGTTTGAATAAATTAAAACAAGCATTAAAAGGATTTTGGACTTGCAACAAATAAAAAAGGATTATTCAATTATATAGTCTGAGCTCCTAGAATATCAAGCTCTTGGAGCTTTCTATTTGATTGTATAAAAAATGATGATTGAAGTGAAATCATAACAAGACAATTATACTCGAAAGTCCAATTGGATCACCTAATTTTTGTTGCCAAAGAAAAGTAATGCTTATTCGGTATTTTGGTTTGCCACTCCTTTAAGAAGTTGCCTCTCATTTTTTAGAGACTACAACCTCTTATTGGGGGCCTTTACATAATTTTGGTTTATTATTAGGAATTTTAAGTCGTTATTGGATAACATGTAGTTTCAAATTTGAGGATATATATATATATCTGTGTGTGTGTGGTCGACCATTTAAGGAAGAAAAATAAGAAAGAAATTTATGAGAAAAGGAGAAATTCATGATAAAAAAAAAACCTTGTGAGATCATGATAGTTTCTATATCGACTCTTAGAAAAACCATATTTAGGATTGACTAAGTGAGATTAAGGAAGAGACAGTAAGGTTTTAGAGAGAGAACATAAGTTGAAGAAAGATGAGGAAAGCTTGGGAAAGTTTTATATAGCTAGCATTTGGAGAGGAAAATCTTGGTAAGGTGGTTTAAGCTCATTTCAACAAGTCATTGAAAAGTTTAACTGATTTTTATGAAATTTTTAATTATGTGAATTAGGGTTCATGACTTAGAATTTAAGGGTTTTGTAAATAAGTGTTAGAAATACTAAAACATGTAGAAAAAAAGTGTTATATATGTGAAATTGATGCTATTAACAAAAAAATATGATGAGGATTTGAGTGGAGGTGGTTAACTAAGTGTAGAAAAAACAAGAGAAAGTATTCTTTTGATGTTTATGTGTTACTATTGTAAGGAATTAGTTTAAAGTTTACGTGAGAGATTATTGAAAAGGGATTAGATCATGTTATAAAAAATTAACATATTGGGATGTTTGTTCATTGTAGTATTGGAATGTATAAAAATGTATAAATGAGTGTGCTGTGCTTAAATAATAGTTTTATAATGTGAAAATTATAATTTGAACTATGATAAAATTTAAGAAAAACATTAGAAAGAAAATAAAAGAAAAAAGTCTTATGGCCTTATATGTATACAAAATAAGAGGAGAATTTAAAATGAAGTAGTAATTGAATCTGATTATTTGAGAGTAAATATAATAAAGAAAGGATAATGATTATTTATAGATGAGAAATATTTAGTATACTTTGGGATTAGTTGGAGAAATGATAAATATGACTTTAAAAATAAATTGTACAGTGGTATGTAAGTTAAAGGTATAGTGGTATATTATGAAATAGTAAAAATATTAATTTATGGTATCTTTTTTGGATTCAGAAGCAGCACCAAGAGTGATATCTTGTGCAAAGGGAGGAACAACTAGATTTATCTTTTAATTATATAATTTTATTTATTTAAAAATAATGGGTATGACATTTTCATTGTTCTCTAAGAGAGAAAACACTGTGGATTGTAATAGTATTTCACAATGTTTTCTCTTGTTTTTGGTCTTTACATTTTTTCATTTGTCTTTTATTTTTTTTTTCCAACTTGTTTTATTAACATTGTATTAATTTAGATTTAAACTTGGTGGTTTGTTCCGACTGCCTATGTTAAGGGACTTTACGACGTTGAAAAAAATATTTTGTGGATTGGTTGATACTTTGGTAAAATTATATGAAATTTTATTTATTTAAAGCAATTAAAGCTTTTGAGATTGAATTTGAAGATTGGATAAATACATACCCCCTTTTTAACTAGCATTAGAGACTAAATTGAATAGGCAGGGAAAGATATTTAGACCTTTTTTTATCACTTGATTTTTTTTTATTAATATGATTCTTTCACATTGAGTTTTTTAGAGTTGGACTTAATGGTTTGTTTTGGCTTTCTAGATATGGGGATCTCATAATGTCGAGACAAAACACAAGGTAGCGATTAATGCTCATTTCAGAAAATAAAAATAAATTTTACTGATATAAATAATCAAGTCTTAAAGGACCAAATTTAAAGTTAAAACAAAAGAAAAGACTAAATTGAACGGGCAAAGAGAAAATGACTGGCTTATGCAATGCACACACCAACGTGTGAGAAGCGTCACTATGTTGTAAAGGTGCATACGATCTCTTTCGACCCTGAAAGGTGGTGTTTCACCATTTCTTTTGAATTTTCTAGATGATGGCTACAAGATGTTGTGGATTGTGGTGGATTATATGTAATGATTGATTAGTACTTAAAAGTAGATTTTTTTCAAGGTTTTATATCATCATTTTGCATTTGAAGTATCAATAACTCCTTAACTAAAGCATGTTTTATACTAACATATCTAATAATATAAGATACCTTTAATTTATAGTAAATGTTCATTTTAAATGCAGGCCTATCACATAAATAAAAGGATTGATTAATGAGTTTAAGAACTGAAATTGAAAGGACAAAGAGATGGCCAAACTTAGAAAAGAGATGCTGGTGTAGTTCAAACCGGAACGCTATTATGTAATTAGGTCATATCTAGAGTTGTAGATCTCAAATTTAGGGATATTTTATATGGATGGAAAGGTAATACATAGCACATTGGAAGAGATCTTTCATATTTCCTCTTGGGCTCAATTGCACATTCACCATAAACCCATAGGTTTGTTAAATGTTAATGGTTATTATGATAAGTTGTTGTCTTTTCTTGATCATGCTGTGGAACAGGAATTTCTAACATCTTCTGCACGACAAATCATAATCTCTGCTGCTACTGCTGAACAGTTGATTGACCAACTACAATCTTTCATTCCTGTGATTGATCCTTCCATGAGTCGCATAAATTGGTCATCTACGGGAAGCCGTAAAAAGCTTAGATTGGATTTGAGCCTTCATTTGTGAATTTTTGTGTCTTTTGGTTTTATTATTGTGTTTTGTTATTTCTTATTTTTGTTTTAGTGTGTTTCAGGTTTTGTCAGTGTTCGTTATTTCAGGTGATATCTTTTATACTCTATCTTTCTACCTTAGAACATTGAGGACAATGTCTCGTTTTGGTTGGGGGGAGAGGGTAGTAGTTGATAAAAAAAAATTGTTTTTCATTTCATAAAGCATGTGCATAATTGTTGTTACTAGGATGGCAGAGTAAAGGAGTTCTTTTGTTAAAGTGACTCTTGAGACGCATCTTAGTAACCATTCTTAACAAGGTCTATTATAATACTTCCTGAAATATTCAGGTTTACAAACTCTCGTATTGTTACCACTTAATTCTGCTCATATACTTATTTAACATGTATTCTTAAACCTTAATTTACACACACACACTTTAACATATGATTGTGGGTTGCATATTGGATTATTACATTATTTATGTTCTTTTGTTAAAGGTAACAACTAAGGGAAAGGGATTGTATATAATTAAAAAAAAAACATGAAAAAAAAGAAAGAAAAAAAAAAGAAAAAAAAGAAGAAAAAAAAATGATGATAATAAAAATGTAGATAAGTTTGGTTTCGTAGCCTCCCTAACCTAAGCAATTAAGTCCGAAGGGGTGTTTTAACACCTAATACCCTAAAGTCAACTGACTTGGGAGCTATTGGCCCAACGCTTGTTACATGGGTTGAGGAGAAAAGCTTAAGGGAATCAAACATTGCACTATCTACATATCAGTATCTGCGACCCGAGTTACTAAGCTCGTAGGGGTGTCTTAACACCTAATGCCCTAAGACCAACTGGTCTGGGAGTCATTAGCTGAAAGCTCGTTACATGGGTTAAAGATGCATGATGTTTTTAAAGTATATGTATATAGAGTTAAAAAAAAAAAAGACAAAAATAGTAATCCCAACCCAAGGAAGTTAACCTTAAACATTAGAACAAAAATTTTGTTTTCTTCCAAGAAAAGCCCCATAATTATGTGT